ATGCTTTCTATACATTTTCAAATTATTTTATAATAGTAAGCTACTATTGATAAATCAGATTATGAAAAAAACATTCAATATTTATATGAAAATCACATAACATGACAATTATCATAGTTCCCTGATGTATAAATCCATGCGGGCAGTTTTTATTTTAAATTTGTTTTGCCTGAAACATATGGTAAGCAGAAAACTCAGCACACGTTTTATTTACTAATTGATTTTTTTAATATAAATTAGGTTTTGTCAATCAAAGGACTGTTCTATGTCCTGACTTCTTTATAATTACAGTAGAAGGATTAGACTAATTTAGGATTTAGGGCAATTGAAACAATAGATCAAATGGGACTGTTTTATTTCCATTGACCATGTAATTTCAAAAGAAAAATAGATTGCAGTTACTTTAAAAAAAGATCTCAACAGCAATAATCTAAAATCCAACAAATTAAAGTCATTAAAACTCTTTCTAAATTGATTTTACAACTTTGAAGTGGATCAAATGTATTTAAACAACCAAATACTCCGTTCCATGGATTCTGCTAGGAAAAAAAACGAACAAGAACTTTATTGGTGAACCAGTGACGTGTATGATTTGGTATGTCCATTCCCTGAGTTTTGTGATACTTCTGTTGAGCACAAATTTCTCACATCACATGTTCTCAAAGGTGGCTATCAGAAACTGATTCTCTTATTAATCTCAAAATCCAAGTGAAGACTATGATTTCAAAGTTGTGACTCCTGCAATACAGGAAATGACTCAGTGCCTTGTAGATCTCTCTATATGTGACTTCAGGTTGTATGACCCCAGGCCCTTGAGAAAACCCAGGTCCTTGCTGGACTCAAAAGCACAAAAGGTATACAAGATTTATTTATTTATTTATTTATTTTTCATTCAGGGCTTGATTAACAAGTGTGTTATAAATTGCACTTGGAACTTACTTGTTGGTTGTTTTTTTTTTTTTGTCAGCTTCATTGCGTCTGTGAACGTATAGAAGAAAAGTTTCTATAGTTCCTATTTAAATGAAGCAATACATGTAAACACAGGAAATCAGGAAATCTTCCTCTCAAGTCCTGTAAGTTATTTCCCATCCAGTATGCTTCTGCAGGTTTGCAGAAAAACTGCTGCATGAGTGCAGATACACTGCTGAGGAATGGACCAGAAGGCAGATTACAGAACCAGAGGCCCATTAAAGCAATTCAGTTTTGAATTATGAGGCTTACACATCGCAACCCTCATCTTCTTCTTTGGGGGTTGGACTTGATGATCTCTGGAGGTCCCTTCCAACCCCTCCAATTCTGTGATTCTGTGATTCTCAGAGTGCGTGCAAATGTATGTAAATTTTGGGAAGGAACTGAGGTAAATTGAAACGAAAGTTGAAAGAAGGAGTGAATGGAAATGGAAGCTCATGTGAATTAAAAGAGTAAATAAACAGTAATGTCATGCAGAGAACACTGCATGTACAGCTTATAAAAAAAAAGTCATCAAACATCTGACACCACTAAGAACTGCTTGCCATGATGTGTAGAAAGACTGAATTGACTTCTGATATTGAGAACCTCATTTATGATGAGTATAAACGCATATTTAACATACTGATTTGGTAATGGTGAATTATGTAAAGGTAATCACAAAGAAATAGCTGTCAGTTTACACTACATTTAGACTGTTTCAGTCAGCATTCCTGCATCTTCACACAAAAACGTATTTGTTTTAGTTATTACACTTTTTTAATTGAACGCCTCCATAAGTAAATTTAAGTAGTGTGAGTGAGAAGGGATAATTATTTCCATGCCTAATTGTGAAGCTTTAAAGCACTCACCAAAACACAGTCCTGACTCTGGAAGAATATATGCTTCTCATCAATGCTACTAAAAAATCACTTTTTAGTTTAAAAAAAAAACAAGAATAAATATTTGCAAGTAACTGGAGATCTCAGACAATCTGTGCATGCAGTAGTCTTCTACAGTGCAACCCTTCATGGCTATTTCAAAATGATGCAGATAGAATTTTTGAAGCCAATGTAAAAAAGCGCCCAGAACCGACTCTGGGAAATCTCTAAGTACGCTGCTGCATGTGAAAACAATGACATCTAGTGGCAAGCTTCGAGAACTGTAACGATCTCCCTGGAACAAAACAAAATTTACATACATTTGCATTCTGTAGCAATTTAATTTGTGTCAATTCAATATTCGTAGCATAATTTACTTACAGTTTGGGTAGTCAAGGAAGGCTTGAAGTCAAATTTATAACCATGGTGAAGTGTCTATTTTGAAATGTTCGCTATTCAAGAATATCAGTGAAATTTTGGAATCTGTTTATATTCTCACTCAGCAGTACTCCTAGAGTACTAAATAACACCCGCTATGATGGTACTTCAAATTCTAAGTATTATCTGCCTATGAGCTATTGCATTAAGTCAGCGGGATCAGAAACAACAGATGATATTCAGTCACAATGGATTTTTACTTGCTAATTACAAATTAAGTCCCTGATACTCAAACTGCAGGGCTCACTTTACCTGTTAAAGGACTGAGGTGCCCTCAGATCTTATATTAAGTGGCAATATAACTACTGTTATCACAACATGAAATTAAACACTGCCTGAAAGGTCAATTACACCGAGGATAAGAGGAAAGAGAACTTTGGCAAGCAGACTTTTTTTTTTTAATTTCACTTGGAACCCCCTAAGGTGCGGAGAATTTCTTGTGTCCATAAATTCCGTGCCAAGCTAGATTAACAGAAAATTTAGCAATACTGCTTTCTGTTATATAGCCTATTACACTAGGAAAGACAGTCCTGATTGCCCATCTGATTCACAGATTTAGAAAAAGGCATTTTCACTTTTCCCATCTCAAACCCAAGGAAAAGGACAAAATACTGAAATATTTGGGAAAAATCTGCCTTGGATGTACTAAACAAAGTACATTTTGTTTTCTACTGCAAGAGATTTGCTTAGAGAACAGGCTTCTCTTCTGAACTATGTGAATTACTATGAATCTCATTCATAAATGACACCAAAGCAAAAGCTACTGGTATCTGGTGGTATCTCATGTACGACAGGGTATAAAAGCTTTAAATACATAGAGCCATCATAGAATCATAGAATGGCCTAGGTTGAAAATGACCATAATGACCATCTAGTTTCAACACCCCTACTATATGCCAAGTTGCAACCAGTAGACACAACACTGAAACAACTGTGCATTAGTACTGCTGAGGAACAGCTCACAGGAGGGAGGTCAACATGTTTGTGTGGTTAAGCTTAGGTCCATGTAGAAAATTCTATACCGAGCCCCATTAAACTGTAAGAATAAAATTAACGTTTCCAAATCAGGCAAGGAGGACCATATCCTTCTACATAAAATCAATCTTGTTCTTTGGTTTTAAAAACAGGTGCCATATCCTATCTTACATCCATCTGGAAGGATTCTTTTCACTCTTTCAAAGTAGTGGTGGCTTTTTTGTCCCATTTTTATATGCCCACATATAAATATCCAAGTAGTCTGAAATGCTTGATGTAAGGCCGTGCTAAGTTACTCCATAGAAAAGGCTAAGGAATTTAATCCCAGTCTAACAGTGCACTGCTTTCCCACAATGCTGTGAAACCCTCTGGAGCACTTCACTCTCCCCAAACTGGAATGCTTACAAAACATGAGTATATATGCACCTGATTATCTTCATGCTTACCAATAATTCCATGGCTGTCAGAACTATTCAAGGTTTTAAAATTAATTTCACAAAAACAGGCAAGGTTAAAACCTTACTAGTATTCTGTTTTGGCCATCTAACCTTACATACTCAACCACTCTTCATATTTCCCTAAGGTCAATTTTGTAGGACATCCTTCCTATCTCTTAATTGAAACTGACATAGTACATTGTACAATGCTACAATGACATGGGATAGAGTGCACCCTCAGCAAGTTTGCAGACCACACCAAGCTGAGTGGTGCAGCTGACATGTGAGAAGGAAGGGATAGCACCCAGGGTTGAGAGTTGGGCCCACGTCAACCTCATGGAAGTTCAACAAGGCCAACTGCAAGGTCCTGAACCTGAATCAGGGCAATCCCAAGCACAAAAACAGGTTGGGCGGAGAATGGCTTGAAAGCAGCCCTGAGGAGTAGGGGGTGATGGTTGATAAAGATTCAACACGAGCTAGTAATGTGCGCTTGCAGCCCAGAAGGCCAACTGCAACCTGGGTTGCATCAAAAGAAGCATGACCAGCAGGTTGAGGGAGGTAACTCTGCCTCTTTGTTCTGCTTTCATGAAACCAGGAATACTGTGTCCAGTTCTGGGGTCCCCAACACAAGGACTTCAAGCTGTTGGAGCAGCTCCAAAGGAGGGCCACAAAGATAATGAGAAGGCTGGAGCACCTCCCTTAAAAGGATAGGCTGAGAGAACTGGGGCTTTTCAGTCTAGAGAAGGCTCTGAGGAGACATTATAGCAGCCTTCCAGTACTTAAAAAGGGCCTACAGGAAAGCTAGGGAGGGATTTTTTACAAGGGCAAGTAGTGACAGGATGAGGGAAAACGGTTTTAAACTAGAAGAGGTTAGATTTAGACGAGATATTTGGAAGAAACTCTTTACTGTGAGGGTGGTGAGACTCCAGAACAGGTTGCCCAGTGAGGTTGTGGAAGCATTCAAGACCAGGCTGGATGGGGCTTCAAGCAAAGTGGTTGAGTGGGAGGTGTTCCTGCCTATAGCAGGGGGTTGGTACTAGATGATCTTAAAGGTCTCTTCCAACACAAACCATTCTGTGATTCTATCATTTTAGACAAGAGCGTAGGTCTTCGCACAAAGCCTTCAGTAAAAATATATGGGCTCTCTTCTACTATATTAATTCCCCCTCTTTTATACCTTCCTGCTTCCGTTTTCCTAGATGCAAAAAAAAAAACCAGTTACTCCGAGCAGAACTGAAATTTTCTTCCTTTTTAATCAGTCTTTTTTGTTCCATTTCAGTAATTTATTAAAAAAAGTCAAGTGTAAAAAATCTGCAAAAAATTATGAACAAAATAATGTAGAATATTTTAATGTTTTTCCTCTTCCACTATTTTCTTCAAATAAGGGAAAGATTATCAAAATTTCGCCCAGTTTTAAGAAATGGTATTTATACACAGAATTAAAATCATGATTTGAATTACTTACACAAATAAAATGAAAATTACTGATTCGGTGAAGTCTTGTATGAGATACAGAAAGATTTTAAAAATTCAAATTAACTTAAGATACTGTGGATATTTTGATTTATAAAATGCTACTGTATCAGAACTATCCACTGACAATACACAAAGGAAGTATGAAACGTGATTTATAAAGAAGTGAAACGCTTCACAGAAGCATGGATTCCTGAGGTATTCTGAATGCAGTTCTTCCATTTACTTGAATTCACAACATAGCTCCCATTGGCATAAGTTAACAGAAGACTGGCTACTTGATAAAGGCAACTCAACATAGCTTTTGTGCGGGAAAAAAAAAAAAAAAAAAAAAAGATACAGGCAAATGGAAACTGGAAGGTTCTTTCTCAATGCTATTAGCAGACTTGGTCATGGTGAAAAATTAGCTCGCACTGAAGTATACAAAGACCTGGTGAGCCTAGTTTTCTCAGTTTAAGAAGATCAGATGTACTATGGGTACTTTTTTCCTCACTGTCCATAGCCATAAGTTGCAAAGTCCCAGATATCAGACAAAAAATTGCTGCTTCTGGATAAACATACAGAAGGACTGATTATCTGGACAAGTATTATGAAAATTAAAAATGGAAAGTATTGGACACTTTCACTTCTTCTTATCTTTTTCTGCTTTAATTCTCTGCTGTAGCGCCTTCAGTTCAGTCATTACATTTAAAGTTCTGTAAACCCAGTTGACCTGAAAAATAAGTAAATCATTACATTTAAATCCATTCATATACATTCAATTACCATCTTAAGATGTATTCATATAAATACTCACCACAATTATGATAGTATTCACCAGCAGAGGTGCTGAAAATACAAGTGAAATAAACATTCCTCTTGAATCGAAGTACTGATATTTAGAAAACAGCCTGAAAGAAGAAAAAAATAGATAAATCTTTGTTCAGCAGGATTCACAGAACATTATACCTTCACAATAACTATTCAACATGGATAACATACAGACAATCCTACTTCTTGGGATCCCCAAACATATGCCTGCATTCTACTGTATGAAGCTTGAAGAAAGAGACTGTATAAGGTTTCTTTAAGGCTCAAGACCCCGTATAACAACCACAGATAAAGTAACATACTGTGACTATATAAACAGGAAGGTATATTTGTGCCTCAGAAGTCATGCTTATTCTGAAGTCTTTTAAATTACTTTCTTAGATATTCATTTTAATTATTCATATTAGAAGAGGTAACTAAGTGGTTACTAAATGTAGTGAGGTTGTAATTTAGGTAAGTGAAGCACAGATTTACAGTACTTCTGTAGATAAACTTCATTGCTAACCATATAATTTTCAGCTACATTGGGTAAATGTCGTTTCAATTCTTACGAAAATAAGCCGCTGATTTACGTCTGAAACACAGGTTTAGTAAAAAGGGAAATTTTAATGACTTTTATATACATAGACAAACACATAAAATAGCACCAATGTTTTTGAGAAGTAGTTCTTAACTTCAGCTTGTTAAACTCACAGCTACCAAAACCAAACAAACAACCCATCACCACACACTCAACCAAGAAAAAAACCCAAAGCTCACATCACATTTCCATTTTACCTGTACCATTCTGGCTTTCTCAAAACTTTTGTATCCATGCAACACACTCCCTGCCATCCCATTCTACTGCTAAGTGGCTTTCTTTTAGGTTAAAGGCTTTCTGGGGAATGGTACGAAAAAAACATTTTAGAAGAACATGCTTTTAAATGTGAAATTGAAAACATTTACCTCCAGTTCATGGCTGCTAATTCATTTATATATTCAGCACAGTACACTAAACACACTACAAAAAAGAAAAAAAAGCATTAGACTCAATATCTCTTTGAAAACAATCTGCCATCAGTTCTGCATTACGTATGAGAGATATATATATACCGTACAGTACAATTTGTTGATATGTAGAAGCTAAAACTACACATTCACTATTTAATTGAACAAAAGCAGATCTGAATTAACATCCCATATAATTACTAACAAGTAGTGAAAAAAAGAAACACGTTATAGACCAAAAAAAAAAAAAAACAACAAAATCTTACTTATCTAAGCTTACAAGAGCTCAGGTAATGAATTATCAATTAAAAAAAAAAAAAAACAAGTTTTTTCAACAATCTTTTCTGTGACTGCTTTTAAGTTACGTCTGTAAAAAGAAATGTCAGAGCTTCCCTATAACTGGTATGGAATTCAGATATCAAAGAATCATGGGGGTTGGAAGGGACCTCAAGAGATCATCGAGTCCAAACCCCCTGCAGGTACCCTACAATAGGTCACACAGGTAGGCATCCAGATAGGTCTTGAATATCTCCATAGAAGGAGACTCCACCACCTCTCTAGGCAAACTGTTCCAAACTGTTCCAGTGCTCTGTCACCTTTACCATAAGGAAGATCTTCTGCACATTTGTGTGATATCATTCTCTAGTACACACTTTTGTCTCAAGGATCAGTATTCTAATTTATATAGCAAGCACTTAAAGTGCATTCATGAAGTTACACCGAACCTTTCCTGTACTGCATGGTCTGAATCTTAAAATACTAGCAGATTTTCAACAGGTGCACAGCAGAATATTCTGATGCAGCGAGACAAAAGCTAATATATTCTTACCCAACAAGTACATGCAGTGTAAAGATACCAAAACAGTAAAACAATCCAGTGCAATCACAGGTTTAGCAGGAAAGCAATGGAATCACAAAATGTATCATTTCAAGATATATCATATCAAGATCATCCAGCCCAACCATCCACCTATCACCACTAGCTCTCACTAAACCACGTCCCTCAACACAAAATCCAAATACTCCTTGAACACTTCCAGGGTTGGTGACTCCACCACCTCCCTGGGCAGCCCATTCCACTGCCTGACCACTCTTTCAGAAAAGTAGTATTTCCTAATGTCCAGCTTGAATCTCTCCTGGTGCAGCTTGAAGCCATTCCCTCTAGTCCTATGACCAGTTACATGAAAGAAGAGGCCAACCTCCAGCTCACTACAGCCTTCCTTCAGGTAGTGATAGAGAGCAATAATGTCTCCCCTAAGCCTCCTCTTCTCCAGACTGAAATTTAATTTAAAAAATGGCCTCTGTAAAGTCTTGCTCTGTCACACCACTGTCAAAGCTGGCAGCAGGGCTTACAGTAACCCTGTTCCATTTGAATGAAATGAAATGAATCCATTTGAAAGCTGCATTGACCAAACCGCAGCATTAACTACTGCAGAGCACGAAACCACTTCTGTCTGTTTTTCAACTTCTTGTCCACTTCTCCAGTGCAACAACAGTTTTCTGGCCTGCTGTGTAACACCACAGCACTAACCACGCAAAAACCTATCTATACTTTGCCTATCAGTACAAAAAAAGTTTCAACTCTCTACTTTATGCAGTCTCATAAGCTAAGTATCTGTAGCTTATAGCTGTTCTGAAACACTTAAGTACATAATGTCCAGACACACACGTTACCACAAGATAAATACTTTGCGATCACTTTATGAGTTGCAAATCTCTTTGTTAAACAAGAAGACCATCCCTAAGGAGTTCACAGAAGCACGGATGCGCTACTCACCCATGCACAGAAAGTGCCCTATTTGCACCCGGTAGTGCTGAAAAGAGAAGCAGGTCAGGAGAAAACACAGGACGTGGAAACCCGCCAGCCCCAGCAGCCAGGGCTCGGCCCAGTCCGTCTTCTGTGGAGAAAGAGAAAGGAGACGCGGCGACCAGGTGAGACGCGAGCCCGGCCGTGACGAGCGCCCTGCCGCCTCCCATACCGCAACCAAAACCCAGCTCTGTCACGGAGCGCGCTCACCTGCGTGACGGAGCACCCAGCGCGAGCAGTCCTCCCCCAACGGAAAGGGAGGCTCCCGTTACACGCACGGATCGGTGCCTTTTCCCCTTCCCTCCCACAGACGGCTCCTCACCGCTAGGATGGTAGACAGCCCCGGAGGACCGTTCAGCGGCTGCTCCATGGCGACGGGGACACTCCGCCTCAGCACAGCCCAAGTCTCGCGAGAAGACACCCAAATAGCCAGCGAGACCATCTTCTCGCGAGAACCCACAGCGGCTGGATCTCTACCTCGCCGCTTGGAAAGGAGGTGCCTTATGGGGCGGGAAAATGGCGGGTGCGCCTTTAAGTGG